TAGTAGTGTGCTGGTAAATGTTTAAAACCCTGCTCTAGGGAGGGTGAGAAGATGGAGAGTCCGAAGGAGCCCTGATTTGTAGCAATTGACAATTTCCTTGGTGTAAATATTCCCACCATGGCTGACTTCAAGTCACAAGCATGTGGTCACTGCATATGGAGTTGGGAAGAGATGTGCACCATCAGTTCTCCCAGGCCAGAGCAAGCCAGCTCCAGCAAGTCATTGCCTGCCACTCTCAGGACACCTTAGCTGCTGGGCCAAGGCTTGGCACCAGCAGGTGCTCCGTTAAGACAATCAAAGAATTTCCTGTACCTGGGAGTTAGCCCCTGACTTACCCAGCCCTTGAGGATGCCACCAATCCAGACCTGAGCCTGGTTGAGTCTACTGGCGCTGCGCTGAATGAGATAGTTGAAATGGTCATTGTGGATGGAGACGAGGTTGCCTTGGTAGCATCTTCTGCAGACATTCTGCAGAGAGAAGAGGTGGAGTAGAGAATTCACTCTTGTTTTACTCAAATTCCAGAGTCTCCAGGCAAGATCCCCACATCATTTTTCGGGTTAGAAATAAGGTACCTACTTATCTCCCTTAATCTTATATTTTGCTCCTTAATCAGTTGTCAGGATATTCTTGCAGGAAATAATGATACTCATAATAATCATAGGCACCATTTATTGAGAGTTTACTATGACCCAGGGACTATTCCAAATGCTTGCCATGTATTGTCATTTAATCTTCACCACAACTCTAAATGGTTGGTACTCTATGTCTTCATTTAATCTTCACCACAACTCTAAATGGTTGGTACTCTATGTCTTCATTTAATCTTCACCACAACTCTAAATGGTTGGTACTCTATGTCTTCATTTAATCTTCACCACAACTCTAAATGGTTGGTACTCTATGTCTTCATTTAATCTTCACCACAACTCTAAATGGTTGGTACTCTATGTCTTCATTTAATCTTCACCACAACTCTAAATGGTTGGTACTCTATGTCTTCATTTAATCTTCACCACAACTCTAAATGGTTGGTACTCTATGTCTTCATTTAATCTTCACCACAACTCTAAATGGTTGGTACTCTATGTCTTCATTTAATCTTCACCACAACTCTAAATGGTTGGTACTCTATGTCTTCATTTAATCTTCACCACAACTCTAAATGGTTGGTACTCTATGTCCAAATGAAGGTACTGAAGCTCCAAAAGTTGAAGTGACTTGCCCAAGCAACACAGCCACTGAGAGACAGAGCCAGAATTTAATGCATCTATGTCTAATACCAAAGCTTTTTGTCTAAATCAGTGGTTCTCAAAGTGCAGTTCCCAGACCAACAATATCATCATCACCTGGGAATTTGTTATAAATGTAAATTCTCAGACTCCACCTCAGACGTCCTAAATCAGAAATTGTGGGGGGGGTCTCAGAAATCTCTGTTCTAACAAGACCTCCAGGTGATTCTGAGAGTAGGCTTTGAGAACCACTCATCTAAATGAATAGGAAACAGAAGATTAAATTCACTCTCTTCTCTCCGGGGTCTTCCACAGTTGCCTCCCTGCCACTTACCTGAGCGTTGCTAAACGTCATGGGGCTCCGCACCAACACGTAGCGACAGGTCTTGCACTCAGGACTTCCATGCAGTTGAACTGTGTCTTCCTTCCTGGGGCACTGCAAGTCCTTGTCTAAGGCAGCTGGGTCTGGCTCCATGGCTTCCTCATCCTCAAATGTGTTTTGACATGCAGAAGCCTCGACCTCCTCTCCCTTTGACTGAATCACCTCCTCAGTCAGGGCCAACTCACTCTTCTGCTCCCCTGAACCATCCAGATCCTGGCCCAGGTCTGCCTCTGTCTCTAGGCTCTCCAGATGGGGGGCATCGTTCTCTGGGAAGAAGAAGTAACCTGCCTTCAGATCAAGTTCTCCCTTCTTCCAGGACCATGGACAGATCCAGTGCCCCCACTCAAGCATTCCCAGGGATGCCCTGTGAAGGAAGCCGAGACTGAAGGATCTCCTGGGTGTTGACTGAGAAGAGATCTCTTGGGTTACACCTGGACGAGAGCCTGGCTTCTGGCTGACACCACAGGTCAGGTCTGTATTTTTAGGGTGGGAGGAAACACATGTGAGAAGTCTGGAGCGGTCACCAGCCCTTCATCTTAACAGCTGGGTGCCGTTTCCTTATTAAAGAGCCCTGACAGAAAGTTCAGGTCACAGTTCCGAGACCAGGAGAAATCTTACAAGATGGGCTGAGTCAACTGAAGAGGGGAGATTATGGCTCTGATCTCATGACAGAAAAAAAGGGAAAAAAAGTAGGAAAAAGGAGAAAAGACAAAGATGAGTGAGAAGGGAAGGGGAGGGCTTACCTAGAAAAAGAGCAGAAACTGTCCCCAGCAGAAGAAGGGGCAGGAGCAGAAGGCATTTCATGTCTACTCAGCCTTGTGGTGAGGACACAACCTCACTGTCCTCCTTGGGGTCGTCCTTGTGTGTCTAGCACAGCTCCTGGCACATAGTGAAGATGCAGTACTTGTTTAGTTCACTGATTAAAGGGCAAATTAGAGAGCTTCCTCCCTCTTCAGTGAACAGACCCTGAGCTGAAGAGTCTGGAAAAGAATGGGGTACAAAAGTACAAAAGTCCCTTTTTCCTGAAATCTTCATTGCTGCCCCCTGAGATGACACTCAGCCCAGACTTCGCAGGAGCAGATCTGCTCAAGGTCAGGGCTGATTTCACTCATGCTGAGGAAGGACAAGGAGGAAGACAGTGGCCATCCTGATCATAAGGACAGGCCTCCTACGTGTTTGCCCCATAAGGTGCTTCTTCCTCCCAAGCCCTGGACCCCCTTTTCCCCTGGAAGCTGAGAGGGAACTTACCTCCTGAGAGTCTGAGGCCTTCACTCTCAGTACCTCTGGCTGCTGGGCCCTAGAAGCAGCTTTTATTCTAGGTTTTAGGGGAAGTAGGAAGAAGCCAGGATGATTGCCCCAGGCTGCGGGGCGGGTTTCATGGAGGAGAGGCAGTGGAGCTGATAAGAAAGTTTGCTCAGTGTTCTCACCCTGGGCCCTGCTCTCTGCTGGGACTGCAGGGTCCTGCCTCCCGGGGCCTGCTACCATATACGAGTGTCCATGCACTTTGGTTTGCTCGAGAGGGTCCTACATGTTACACCTATTGTCCAGGCATAATTATTAGTGCCCCTACAGTGTCTCAGTGTGAACAAAGCCCCCTAACCCCAGGAGCAGCCTCCCACTGGTCAATATCCCAGGAAGTGAACTGGAGATCCCAGGGAGCAGGTGGGAGACCATGAGGGGAGGAGGTAGGAGGCAGAGGGAGCCTCAGCCCCTCCAGCTCTTATCTACATTAGGTGGTTTATATACATCACATCCTTGATCCTCACCTTCACTTATTCCCATCAGGAATGTATGATTATCTCTACTTCACGGATGTGAAAAATGAGATTCAAAGACAGAAAACAGCTTTCCAAGGTTACATGGGAAGTGGAGAAACTGGAATTTCTCCAGATCCTTGCTTTCTTTGATATGACCAAATGTGCTATCTGCCCCACCCACCCCCCCGACCTGTACAATCTAACGAATGGTGTCAGTGCTTTCCACATCCCTGGAACGCCAAGTCTCTAGCTTACTGTTTGCATTTATGTTCAGAAGGGCTTCAAACTCTGCCTCTTTTCCCAAGAGTCGGCCCAGCCCCACATCATGCAGAGGATGGGTCTCACAGTCCTGAGAGGCAGTGCAACAGAATATATGAGGAAATCATATCTGTGTCTCACTTTTCTCATCTCTCAACTGAGGACAATGACAGGACCTGCGTCTAATGAGATCAGCTTAGGTAAAGCTTTCAGAACAGTTCTGGGCACATGAGTTGGGGATGGTCCTTGTCAGGAAACCAGAACTAGAATGTGGCCCTTAACCACAAATAAGCAATGAGTATACTGTTGATTGTGCTTCTACTCTGTGCTCTGCACTGTGTAAGGAATTCCAGAGATGCAATTATAAAGACGTGATCTTAGTTTCACAGAGCTTAGTTAGTATCTTGTGGGAGAGGAAAAATGCACACACACAAACCCATATTTTGGGCCATAAGGCCAGTCCTCTTATTTCATGATTTTTACTTTTTTAAAAAAAGACTTTTTTTTATGGCCATGTAACATAAATCCTGTAAAATACACTGTAGAGTGGACCACTGAGGGAATTTTTACAGTGACTGCACCAATGTAACCACACCCAGATCAAGATTCTGAACTTGACCAGGAGCCCTAAAGCCTCCTTTCTGCCCTCTTTTTGACATTTCTTCCCCACTTCCCCAAAGAGGATCTCCATGGACTAGAAGTCACAGTTCTGTCACAACACACACCGCCAACCGAAGAGATTTATGGAACAAAGTAAAGTTTACCTGCCACTTAGCACAGAGCCTGGCACCTAGTAAATGCTTAGTAAATAGGATATTTTAATACTCTTTATTACTAGTATTGGAATAAAGGGAAGCAATGCCTTCCTGCACCAGAGAGTAAAGTCCATGAGGGAAGAAGTGAAAGTCCTATGTCAGCTGCACTGTCATATGGTCACCCACCAGAGGCTGCACCCATAGGAGGTGTTCAGAATTCCACCATCTTTGGAATCAACAGACTCTCATGGAACAATGGTTTTTGCAATATACCTACCTTTGATTTCTGTCTCTTTCTCAACTTACTATGTGACCTTGGGCAAGTAGCTCTGAGCAACACCCCAAAAAATTAAAGTTCTTGTTTTGACTCTCTCTAAGACACTGGTCTCATATAAAGTTCAAGGAATTGGAGGAGTCCTGGAAGGAAAGAGCTTCAGGGCATTGGCCACCTTTTTCCCGCTCCCCTCCCTAGTGGAGAAGGGTTTAGAATGCCTTCCTTTCTCACCTCTGATTGGGCTCCCTCACTTCCAGCTGGGCTGCAGTTATATGCCCCAGGATGAACCCAAGAATGAGGGGACCCATCTTGCCTCCCCATGGTGCCCCATCCCTATATGATCACGTCCTGGAGGGGAGAGCAGCCAACATTCCCAGCCATGGAAGCATGATGGTTAAGGGAACATGCTTTGGAACACCTAGAGTCAAATCCCAGCATTAGTCACATAGATGTTCAGTCTTGGGCAAATCTTTTAACATCTCTGAGCCTGGTTCTATAAAATGGGTATAATAATTATTGATCACATGAGGTCATCTATGTAAGATGTCTGTCACAGCAGGTACCTGTCAAGACAGTACCTCGTGGGTCCTCAGTAAGTGGTAATAATTGGTAGATGTTATTGTGCTTATTGTATAAAGAATTGTATGTCCCCAAATAGTAGGGAACTGTGTTTTGTTGTATTCCCAGGCCTTATTAGAGTCTGCCACATAGCAAATTGTCTTATATTTGGTTTTCCACAAGCAGATCCTGAGACAAGGATTTGAGTGCAAGTAGTTTATTTGGGAGGTGCAGATACACTAATAAGGGAGCAGAGAATTCAAAGGAGAACAGCCAATAAAATGTATGTTGTAATACCACCTATTTCATGGCTAACTGGAGTTTAATCCCACTGGGAAATCCTGGGAAATGGTGCGCAATATGTGCCTTAGATTTGTTCCACTTGAGAATCAAGGGACTGGGTACTTATATACCCACTCCAGGGATATGTCAAACCAACCACAGTTCTGGGGTGGAGGAGAGAGAAAAAAGGCCCTTGGGCATGGAGATGCAAATACAGGCCACTTAGAGTTCACCTGAAACCTTGTCCAGCATATGAATATACCAGTTATGTTCAGCTATGCCCTAACTGATGGGTATTTGGGTTGTTTCCAACTTTTTGCTGTGACAAACAATTCCTCAGTGATCACCTTGTCCATATGCATCTCTATGTGTATGTTCAAGCAGTTGAAAAGCTAACAAGTGGAATGCTCATTGTAGATCTTTTTTTTTTTTTTAAAAAGATGACCGGTAAGGGGATCTTAACCCTTGACTTGGTGTTGTCAGCACCACGCTCAGCCAGTGAGCGAACCGGCCATCCCTATATGGGATCCGAACCCGGGGCCTTGGTGTTATCAGCACCGCGCTCTCCCGAGTGAGCCACAGGCCGGCCCCTCACCTGAAACCTTGAAAGGTCCCAGAGATTATGGGTTGGGTCCTGGCAACACCTGCTACACAGGTGCCCAGTAATTGGGTGTTCTATAAAGAGAACTTCCTGAGCCCATTCCTCTATTTTCAAAAGGCCCCAGAGACCCCACCCCACCCTCCATCCTCCTCTAGGAGTGGTAGCTTCTGACTCCTTCCATGAAAAGCGTGGTGTGGAGAGGGATGATAAGGCAGAAAGTTCAAGGGTGGGGCTAGGCATAGTGGACCAGTGATCAGAGGAGAGAAGACATCCATTTCAGTGAAGCAATTTTATTGCCATGAGGTGAAGGGAGGGGCAGCAGGCAGGGGAGAAGGGGCAGCAGCCCAGGAAGGGGGCAGTTCTGCACTTCCAGCTGGGACCTGCTCAGGAGGAGCAGACAAAGGAGAGGTTCCTGCTGCAGTGAGCTCGGCGCCAGTGGCCCCCTGCAGAGGCAGAACAGGAAGGGACCTTCAGCCTCTGGTCCACTCCCACTCAGCCCCCAGGAGGATCTCCTCCCCCACACACCAGCCCCATATCTCAGTGGAGATGGAGTCTAAAGACCCAGTAGGCAGTAGGCCCCTCCCTCAGAGGGCCAGGCTCTCTTCCTCACGCCTCCTCCATGGGGCACTTCTCACCTCCCAGGCCCTCCCATCCTTCACTCCCAGCCCCTCCTCACCTTGGGTACACAGAGTCACGCAATGGCCCGTGTTGGCCTGAGGCTGGCCGGCAGCCCAGTACGCATAATTCCAGGAGCTGCCATCAACCCAACGAAAGCGTCTGCTGCGACCCTAGGGAAGGTAGGTGGGGGGAGGGGATTGGGGATGGGAGAAGAGAAGGCAGAGAGGCTGAGCTGGCACTGTCCCTGCCACTACTCCTGCTGCCCACCGGGTCACTGACCCTTGACTACTGGACCATGATAGACTCTGTCCTGGTCAATGAAACGCTGATCCTCAGTGATCACCACCACCACTTCTGTGCATCCCAGAGATGTGCCCATCTCTAGGGAGAGTTGGAAGGGGTGGCCACCCCGCTCTAGAGATGAGCAGACAAGCCACAGTCTTGCCCAAGTCATATGGATAGTCAGGCTGAGAGGACTTGGACCCAGATCTCCTCATTCTAAATCCTTGGCTCTTCCCAATGCCTAGGCAGCCCCCTCAGTGTCCATCTATCCCCAATTATTCAGGAGGTCACAGAGCAGAAGCACAGCCAAGTCTGCAGCAGATAGAGCACTGACTGGGGTCAGGAGGTGCTCCGCATTTGGAGCTGGCACCCCTCTTACCGAGCCTATGACCTGGAGTCCGATCCAGATTTGACCCTGGTTGACCCCACGGACTGCACATTGGATCCGGTAATTAAAGGCGGAGTTGTGGATGGAGACAAGGTTGCCCCGGTAGCACTTCTGGCAAGTCCACTACAGGGCAGGATAAAAGAGGGAGAATGGAGTGTCCTTCATACAGGAATTCGCATGACCATCAATTATCTTCAGTCTCTGAGTCTCCATGATTCATGCCTTCCCTCCCCCACCACAGCAATTTGTAGGCTGGAGAGCAAAGTGCAAATTCTGTTCTTCATGGTCCCCTCTTGCCCAGCACCTCTGCCTTGCCCTAGTAGCCTCTGCTGACACCCCCAGGACCCTTACTAGAGGAAGGAACCAGTGACACAGAGGCTGGAGGCATGTCCCCTGCCCCCTTCTCAGTCTCAGCCACAGGCTACCCACCTGAGCTTGATCAAACGTCCTGGGGCTCCTCACCAGGAGGTAGCCACGGCGGGTCTTGAATCCAGGGCTGCCCACCAGTTTTACTGTGTCCTCTTCCTTAGGGCATTGAAGGCCCTTGTCTTCCACATCCAGGCCTGAGACCAATTCAACAGCCCCCTCTTCCTCAGGGGCACCATCGCTTCCAGAGCCTCCCTCCTCCTCTTCCTCCAACGACATCAGCTCCCCAGGTGGGGCCTCCTCAGCTTCTGGTTCTGGTATCTCCCTACCCTCAGGAAGGGTCTTATCTCCCAAAGGGCTCTCAAAGTTGTAAGTTTCAGTCCCTGGCAAAGGAGAAAGACCAAGTCTCTTTCCTTCACATCTTTTCCTGTTCCTCTCAAGAACCACGGACAGCTCCTGCCTTGCCCTAGGCATCAAGAATGCTCAACCCTGCCTGGGAAGAGAGGAACCTGGAACCCAGCCTCCCCCATAAGGTCAAGGTGGTTGAGAGCAAGGGCTTAGAATCAGACAGTTGTGTTCTGGTTCCATCATCTACTATACAATACAACCTACCTCATGGGGATGCTAGGAGGATTAAAAGAGGTAAAGCATAGAAAATCCTTAGCACAGTACACTCAGTAAGCTCAAAGGAAAAGGAAGCTATAATTATTTTGATTATCATTAGCACTACATAGAAAAGACAAATTGGGAATGTCACAGTAGAACTGAGACTGCTGACATAACAGATGCCCTGAGGAGTCCCTTCAGCTCCTGGCTATAGAGTCCCTGCTCCTTCAAGAGCACAGAGATTCTGACACAGGGATGATCAGAGGAGGCGGTGAGTATGTGCCTCTGACCCCATCTATTATAGAAAGGAACAAAATAGAGAGGAAAAAAAAAAGGACTGAAGGCAAAGACTTACTCAGATGAAGAGCAGAAACTGTGCTAAATAGAAGAGCCAGAAGTAGAAGGAGTTTCATGTTGGCCTGTCCTGCAATGGAGAACACAGTTTGTTATCAACACATACACACATCACAGCCACACCATCCAGGGACCTTGGTAGTGAGGTGGAGAAAAAGAAGGCATGAATAGAAATAAGGATGGGCCCCAAAAGCTAATGCTTTCTCTAAAGCACTCACCAGCCCAGATGCCTTCCTGGGTTTTTAGGAATTCCCAAAGCTCAGATCCTCCTCTGCTCCCTCTCACAATGACATTTTATATAGGGGCTTTGGAGGAAGTTCCCCTGGGGAAAGTGGTTTTGCCCCAGCCAGAGAGAGAAGGGAGGGCTGATAAAAGCCATTTCTTCACTTCTGCAGGGAGTCCATTTATTCAGTGCTGGATTATCTCCTGACACCTCAGGAACCTGGGGCCATTCTAGAACTGCTCTGAGCTCATGGTTCTTATCTTGGGCTGCCCTTCAGAATCCCCAGGGAGCTTTTCCAAAATACACATCTCTCCTGCTTGGTGGGTGAGGATGTGAATTGCCTTATACATTTTGGGAACAAATCTTTCAATATCTATTAGAATTTAAAATGCACATTTGATCATTTGATCAATTTCATTCTTTGGAGACTATCCTTTAGACATAAAAGCACCTGTAAGAAAATTTTGTAAAAGTTATGTATTGCTTGACTGTTTGTAGGCATGAAAACAACCTGGATATCCATCAATAGGACAGTGAATAAAATGTGTCCCATCTATTCTACAGAATGTTACATGGCTATTAAAAGAAAAGCTGTGCTTATGCTTTGTACACCTGAAGAGATGTGAATGTTACATTACAAAGTGTGAAAAGCAAGATATAGAGAAAAACATTTAGTATGAGAATAGCTTTTTGGGTTTTTTTTAACCCTTGTAAGTGCTTATCTGTGAGTTTTCTTTACATGACCATTGATAGAGCTGGAATGCTAAAAAGGACTCACACCAGACTGTTGACCTTGGTGACCACCGGGAGCAGGGGAGGAGAGGGAAGAAAGTGGGGAGGGAGACTGTTTTCCTTCCTTTCATAACTTTGCATTTCTTCAATGGTTTTGATAAATGTGGGCTAAATCTGTAATTTTGGAAGATGCCTTATTGAGTATTTTAAAAATACACAGATCCCACCCTGGGAAATTCTGATTGACTTGTAAGTCTAGAGTACAGGGCAGATGTCTGCATTTTTTTTTAAAGTTTCCAAGCTGACTCTGATGGAAAACGGATCTGGGAGTCACTGTTCTGCGGGTCTCCAAGCACAGGAAATGCTCACATATGCCCGACCACTTTCCCTCAGAACTTAACCACTCCTGCCAGCCTTCCTTATGACCATCCTACCAGCCTTCATTATGGCAACATTTACTGCACATTTTTAAATGCTGTGCATGGAAAGTATTGTCTCATTTAATCCTTAAGGAAGTAAAAATAAAAATAAATAACTAGTGAGCTGGGTGAGTGATATCTCCATTTTTCAGGTGAGGGAACTAAGGCTCAGTGTGGCTCCTAACCCATCCCCCACTCACTTCCCCCACTGGATCAGCTCCCACTGTATATTGCAGGTAATCGTTTCACTTTTTTATTTATTTGAGATTATCTGGTAAGGGGTTAACATCTATCTACCCCACTAGGTGATAACCTGCATGATGACAGAGGCCACATCTCTTTACTCACTACCATATCTTTGGTGCCGAGCACATAGTAGGGCCTCAATGAATATTGGTTGAATGAATGAACAGTTAAGTAAATTGCTCAAGTAAATAGCAGGCTTAGGATTCAAGTCCAATTCTCTCTGACACCAAACTTCTCTTCCCTTAAACATGTGTCTGCTCTGTGTCGAAAACTATGCTGTCTCAGTGAAGGCAGAATAGGAGAGAGGCATTGTCCTTGTCCTCAACTTGCTGAGGAGAGCTGAGGAGGACAACTTACCTCATTGGTAAGAGGAGGAAAATCCAAGTAAAACAAGGGGAGGAGGTTAATACCCAAGCTGGGAAGCACTCTGCCAATGCAGAAGGAAGTGCGTCCATCACAGAAGAGAGCAGAAAAGGCTGTGTGAAAACAAGAGCTGGCTCCTGTGCAGGTGGAAAGGTGGTGAACAGAGGGAAGGAAATGGAGGCATTCCAGGGGGAAGGAACAGGATGAGCACAGATGTGCCGGCAGGATGACCCTGGCATGTGCGCAGGATGGTGTTATTTCCTTCATAACTAAAGTTGACAGTATGTACACTGGGAAGAGGTGGGGAAAACCAGGAAGAATGTATCCCGTCTTGAGCCAAGGAATGGAGACATCCTTCCCCTGTCCTCACTTATTCAAAAAGACAGAAGCAGGAATCAAGGGAATACCCAAGAGCCTAGACAGAGCTTTGAGCTGAGCTCTGCTCGCTTCCATCCCCAGGCCCTCCATGCAGGGCCACTTTGCATGTTGGACAGACTTAGGATGGACAGAAAGGGATGAGATGGGGCCGATTCTTGGAAGCCACTTGGCTACTCAGGCCCCCCACCCCTGACGCAAGTCTCTCTTTTAGGTCACACAATCCAGTGTCTGAAATCCACAGCTTAGTTGCCCTGGAAATTCCACTTCATCAAGATCCAGTGGAGCTATAGAGCTAGTGGCCAAGAATGTGGACTCCAGAGTCAGACAGTCCAAGTCAGTCGATCCACGGTCCAAGCATGTCCAGGGTCACACTAAATAGCTGTGTGACCCTGGACAAGTTCCTTAACCTCTCTGTACCTCATTATTATCATATGTAAAATACCTACCTCACTGAGTAGTCAGAAGGAACTAATGAGCTAATGCATGTGTAGTACACATGCTGTGAGGTGCTCAGCCACCTCACTCCTTCCTGTGGTTTCTGGGATTTCTCTTATGGATCTTGGTGGTGGGTGGACCTCTCATATGGAAGACAAAAGTACCAAATTGATTCCCAGCCTCCTTTGCAGCTAAGACATATGACTAGGCTCTAGCAAATAGAAGCATCCATTTAAGACTTTGAACCCAGAGCTAGTGACAAAAGACAAAACAAAATGTGCACCAAGAAGACCACTTTGTGGTGGTGGTGATCAATTTCCTGGGGCTGCAGTGCCCACAGTGCTAGAGGATGGATCCAGGGTCCAAGCCCTACGACTTCCTGCTGCCAGCCACCAGATCTGGATCTCAGCAGCAGCAGTGGGATCCTCCCCAGACCAGGTTTTGACCCCAAGTCTGGTTCTTTAGACCTTCCTGCAGTTTTCTGAGCTTCCCCAGTTTTTTTCAATAAATTCATTTATCTATGCAGACCAGCCAAGGAGACTTTCTGCCACTAAGACCTCTGACTTATGCAGCACATAGCACAGGAAATGGCATTTAGTTATTGCTCAGTAAATGAGCAATTATTATTATTAGGCCCAGAAGTGATCAGGGTCTTTGAGGCTGACCCACATTAATCAAACTCTCAGGAGTCCAATGTCTACATCTGATGCCAATGACACAATTTATGTCAACCTTTATCCACAAGAGGCCTACTTGTCTGGGCCCTCTGATCAGCACGTTCTCTCCCTGCATCACAAGCTACAGTGTGCTCAGTAGACCTGGATCTTGAATGAGAACAAAGAGCTGGAAGTCTTGGAGTCCAGTGCTTTTGAGCAAGGGGGAGGCCTACTTGTCTGGGCCCTCTGATCAGCACGTTCTCTCCCTGCATCACAAGCTACAGTGTACTCAGTAGACCTGGATCTTGAATGAGAACAAAGAGCTGGAAGTCTTGGAGTCCAGTGCTTTTGAGCAAGGGGGCCTGATGCCCATCATCTTGACTTCAGCCTCAGGCCTGCCTCCTTCCCCAAGAAGTGTTGGATCAACACTGCAGTATCCTGAATCTTAGGAATCCCCCTTTCTGACCCCAAAGTTGCTATAGAGCTTGAATGTCCCCAAACAGACTCAGTCATCCATCTCAATATCGCTGCCATGGAGGATCCTGACAGATCACCTCTACTTGTAATTTTTCCTAATCTCATCCTCAGAGGCTCATCCCAACATTAGCCTTATGAGAGAGCTTGCTGTAGCCTCTGGTCCAGCCTGTCCAGGGGCAGACCTGGCACTGAGGGAGTGTGCCCGGCAACAAGGGTGATGTCCTGCACGACGTGTACAACATGCTTGTACCAAGCACTGACCAGAGACCACCCTGGAGATGATGTCCAGTACCAAGGAACTCTGGTTTATGTCCCTCCTGTACCCAACCCAACACACAGCAGCTTGAAGGTAGAAAACTCTGCAGCTCCAGATACCCAGTGCTCGCTATTCAGCCCTCACTTCCATCTGCATCCCTCCCCCCACTCTGCAGGGTTCCTCAACCTGGAATCTATAAGTAGGCTTCAAGGGGCATGAACCCTGCGATCATAGACAACATACAGTATGATGTTCCTAAGGTGAGGGTCCAAACCTTCCATGAGATTCTTTTATAACTTCCCAAAAAGCAAAAGAACCTCTAATTTTACTGTATGGTTTGTTCCTGAAGAGCCAGGAATTACCTCCCACTCTTCTTCACCCGTAAAGCCCTGCTTGGCCCTTGTGATAGGCAGAATAAGACATCTTCCAAGATCCCCGTTCCCTGGTGTACACACACTGCACAATCCCTGGGACTGAAAACAGGGTGAATTTTACTCCTGTGGTTGTGTTATGTTATATGTCACAGTTGACTTTAATGAAGGGAGAATATCCAGGGTGAGTCTGACCTAATCGATTGAGCCCTTAAATAATACCAGACTCTTCTTGAAGTCAGAGATTTCACACATGAGGGGGTTCCAACCCAAGGGAGATTGTCCATTGCTGGCTTTGAGAATGGAGGAGACCACATGGCAAGGAATGTGGGCAGCCTCAAGGATGTAAGAGCCGCCCCCATCTGATAGCCAGCAAAGAAACAGGGACCTCAGTCCTACAACCGCAAAGAACAGGATTCTGCCACAACCATATGAGCTTGGAAGGGGATCCTGAGCTCTAGATGAGAAAACAGCCCAGCCAACACCTTGTGAGACCCTGAGCA